AATCAGTTAGAACAAATGTGTTTGTACAAGTGACACAAATACACATGCAATGCATGTGAATGCTGAAGGAAAATTTTACATTGTACATTTTCATTTAGCATAGGATTATATTAAACTTATATATTATAACAAAAAGCCATAAAAACGTCTCGGTTACTATTGTAACCCTCGCTCCCTGAAGTAGGGAATGGAGACATAACGTCGACGTGACGACGGAAGTGTGATCGCATTGAGAGACCAATCTACTTCGAGAGTATTAAAACGAGCCAATGCATATTGGCATGTGATAATTGCATCATTTTTTTTTACACTGAGGAGTTAAGACGTGTTTGGCCGCACAGCGATGGTCAGCAACCGTGGCGATGGGACATTAGCCGCTTTCCAACCGGAGGGATTTTTGCAGTTCCTAGAAACTAACGTTCCTGTAACCCTTTTTTTCTCGTCTTCCGATCGGACTAAATTGGGGATTTTTTAGTTCCTCAGACCGTAGTTCCTATAACTCTTTCAGTACCTAGTCAAGAGCGAGGACTTTTTTAGTTCCCTTTTCCTAGGTCTACGTTGATTGGTTCAACTTATAAGTCACGCCCACTGTCAACACGGAACTTGTAGCGCGTTGTCTGCCATATGCTGTGTGTTTTAGCAAACGCCGCCGTTCGTACTCCGTTATTAAGGTCCCGGCAAGGCAAAACCGGAACATTGCAATAGCCTCCTCCATGCTGGTTTGTTGTTGTTGTATGTGGCCACACTACGTCTAGTGATGACGCTATAAAGACCGTCGCCGTGCTTGCGTCACTCCCTTACCCCTCCTACCAGTTCCTATGGCCACTTGGCCAGTGCGAACGCAAGCAGCAAAACCGAGTTTGGGGGAGAGTAGTTCTTAGAACTGTTTAGAAGTGGACAGTTCCTATAACTAACTTCCTGTAACTACTTGGTCGGGTTAGCGGCTAATATGTGTCCCATTTTTTTTCAGGGAATGAGGGTTACAATAGTAACTGAGACGTTCCCTTTCAGTCGCTCACATTCGACGTAACGTTGACGTGACAACGTAATTGGGATCCCATGGAAAACGCCACGGTTTCTGCCACAACCAGCGCCCTACTCAAGACTCTCAGACCCCCAACTGACTGGGTTGGAAGGCCTGCATAGAGGGAGTTTGAACTTCTGTTCCTTTATAACCCACAGAGTGGAACTCCTGGATAACACTGGGAAAGCATGCCTTTCCAGGGGAGAGGGACACTGCAGAATCCACATCTTGCCCGAAGGGAGATAACATGGAGATACACACATGGACTGGCCAGAAGGGGCTACACCGGACATTGATGGCAGAGTGGACTTTGCCAAGTGAAAGACACGAGCTCACCGCAGGGAGCTGGTCGTGGAAGATGGGATCGCTGCAGGGATCACCACATATAGAACCCAGCCTAGCACAAGTTACACAAGCATATGAGCACTAGGCTGTGTGTGAGACGCTCTGCAGGACTGCCGGAGGGGTCCAGAGAAACTCTACAGGGTTCGCCTAAATGGGGAACTCGACTGGAGCAGAAACGCCTATCACGTATCCGCTCCATGTGGAGGGGAGTGAACCAAAATACATGCAGGTCCCCTACCCTCTTGATTGAAGCCAATGCAACCAGGAGTTCTGTTTTACAAGACAGAATTTTAACTCCACTGACTGCAGAGGCTCAAAGGGTGGTCTCTGAAGTACCAAAAGGAATAGAGACAAATCCCAAGAGGGTATAGAGACTGGGTGAGGCAAATTTAGTCTCCTCGCCCCCCTTAAGAACCTGACAATCAGGTCGTGCTTTCCCAGTAATTTACCTTAAACTGCATTGTGATGTGCGGCAATAGCGGCAACATACACTTTGATGGTGGAGGGAGACAGCCTTCGCTCCAACCCATCTTGCAGGAAGGAAAGCACGGCTCTGATCGAGTAAGTCCGAGAGTTCTCCTCGTGAGAAGAACACATCACAACAAACAGGTTCCACTTCAAAGCATAGAGGCAGCTCATAGAGGAGGCTCTAGCGGAAGTGGAGGTGTCAACTACCACCGGGGGTAGGTCACCTGGAACCTCCGCGTCCCATCCAGGGATTAGACATGGAGTTTCCAGAGGTCTGGACATGGGTGCTATAGGGTGCCCCGTCTCAGAGAGCAGGCCCTCTAGTGGAGCCTAGACCACCCTGGTGGTTGATGTATGCAACGGTCGCAGTGCTGTCCAAACGGACCAGTACATGCATGCCTAGTAGCAGCGTTTTGAAGCGGCCGAAGTTTGCTCTTTTCCCAGTTGACCCAAATCCCTAGGTGGCAAGCCCTAGGTGGCAGAGGTGACTGAGTACCATGTCCCTGTGTTCGCACAACTGCTCTCATGACTGGGCGAGAATAAGCCAGTCATCGAGGTAGTTGAGAATGCGAACACCACAATGGGAGCAATGGCCACCTCCACGACTTTCGTGAAGACACGGGGCAACAGGGCCAGCCGAAGGGTAAGACTTTGTACAAAATATGCCCGACACTCGAGCACAAAGCGCAAAAACCGGTCTGTGTTGAGGGAGAATTGGACATGAAAGTACACATCCATCGGAGCGATCACTGCAAACCAATCTTGAGGACGGATGCACTTGAAAATGCGTATCTGCATTAGCATCTTGAACGGCAGCCTGTGAAGGGACCGGTTCAGGACACACAGGTCCAAGATAGGCCGTAATCCACCACTTTTATTGGGTACAATGAAGTACTAGCTAAAGAAGCCGGTCTTCATATCGGCTGGAGGGACCGGCTCGATTGAGTATTTCGCCAGTAGGACTGCAATCTCTGCCTGTTGAAGGCTGGGGGACACTGGGCAAACTGAATCACATAGCTGAGATTAATGGTACGGATGAGACAGGCCCAGTGAGATGGGCTGGGAAGTGCTAGCCAGGCTCCCAGACACTACAAGCAGGACCAACGCCAAGCCAGACGTACCCAATGAGGAATGCAGGGACCCGACTCGAACGGCATAATGGCCTGAGCGGGGTCTGAGTGAGCAACACTTACCTGACTCCACCGATCGTCAGGAGATGAGTAAAGGCCAATTTATACTTCTGCTTCGAGGGTACGCCGTAGTGTACGGCGTTGGCTTCGCACGTAGGCGACGCCTTTGTGAGCATTTATACTTCTGCGTTCAGGTCTTGGTTGCTCTGCAGTACTGCTCCGAAACGCTAGTTGGCGGCGGAAGGTTTTAATGTTCCACTGTTTAGATTCCTCGAGTTGCGGCTAGGTTGCTACAAGCCTGAAAGAGAGCAGATCATGTTGGAGTTGGAGCTTATTGAGGTGGAAAAACAGTTAATTTTAGTGAAATTACTAAAACTGAAAGGCAGAAATGAGAGAAGACGTCGGAGGAGATGGTACGTGTGGAAATGCGTCAGAAGGTACGTGCGGAAATGTGTAGGAGGAAATGCGATGCTACCCAGTGGTGGAATGTAACGAAGTACAAATACTTCGTTACTTTACTTAAGTACATTTTTCACGTATCTTTACTTTACTTAAGTACAATAAATAGTGCATACTTTTTACTTTTACTTCGTTACATTTTGCAGCAATTATTATACTTTCTACTCCACTACATTTCTACAACTTCTGTTACATTTTCGTTACATTTTCTGATCAGTTTTTCCCCTGCCAAAACGTAATCTGACCGTCCGTTCGTTGCACGTTTGTCTCACCAGAGACGTTTGGTTGCCATAGATACAGTATATCAACCTGGTCACACTAAATGCGTCTCACACGCAGTGTGTTTATCGTGCAACTCATACGCGAAAATTAGTTTTTACGTGCATAGGAAACACACCGTGTGTAGTATATGTTTGGTTTGGTTAGGATTATGGCAAGCCAAGAGGTTCATAATTACACCATGAATTAATCTCGTTTACTGCCAAACATAGTTATTATATAGTAAGGATAAGCATGATGTGTATATTGCCTAATTGCAAGCTTGTTTCAGAAATGGTGACATTTTTTTCCATCATTATTGAACATCATTATAGGAGTAGGCTATTAGGTTGAATGAGTTAGAATTAAATGTTTTATTAATCATTAGAAAATAGACATTAAGATAATAAATTGTTATGCAAGTACTTTTACTTTCAATACTTAAAGTACATTTAAAATAAAGTACTTTTTACTTTTTACTTAAGTATGGTTGTCATTGTGTTACTTCTACTTTTACTAAAGTAAATATTTATCTGGGTATTTGTACTTTTACTTAAGTACTGAGATTCAGTACTTCCTCCACCACTGATGCTACCAGCCGACCAATCACCGATCTTGCAGTCCGCGTCGTCGCGACGTGTAGTTACATTTTTGAGGAGGTGCGGCGAAGGGTACGCAGTATGGGACGCGTCTCTGCGTATGCTACGCCGTACCTACTACGCGCACCCTACGCAGAAGTATAAATTGGACTTAAGACAGCATAGGCGCGGCCTCGAGCACATCAGGCTACCACTGGCGAAGCAAAAGGGGGCAGAGGGCAACCTCGCTCTCTTGGGACCCAGAGATAGAGAAGCTGCTTTTGCTGATTTTTTTTTTTTTTTTTTTTGCTGCTTTTGAACTGCAGGGCTAGGCTAACTAACTAGGCTAAGTAAACTAGGCCAAGTAAAAAATACATTAATGTATAATTATAATTTATTTTTTAATTATTAATGAAGCAAATAATATTTATGTATTTATTAATTTGTTTAGTTTTGTAAAGAAATTCACACATGCACTAGGCACAAATTAATACATTTCAAGCATTTAAGAAAAACCTGTTTTTATGGTTTGAGAAAATATGATTTACTGATTTACTACTCGTCAATTGCAATGACTAAAATCCTGTAAAAGTCCAATGTATTGACTGGTCATAGCTCTTTTTGATTTCGTATAGGCTATTCCAAATTATCATGATTTCATGAATTATCATTTAAAAAAACATTAAATATATATATATATATATATTCCAGAGATAGGCTACAATTTGGAGGAAACTAGAACAATGTTCAGTGACTATACCACTGGATTATGTAAGTGCAATTCAAATAACACGTAATACCACAGCACATTGCATAATATCCAGCCAGCAAATGTCTGTTTCCCCCTGTAAACTGTGAAAGCCCCTCCTGGTGCAACAGCGGATCTGACCTTCACATTAATACAGATTAACCGCACGCAGACTGCATTAGATGGCACAGGACCGTCTTTAAGGGTCCGGTGGCAGTGCTGGGGATTTGAACTTTTGAACTGCTTCTAGAAGTGTGCATGGCTGCATGTTGAGGTGCGCAACATGCACGCGGATGTCTCATTTCTTCTGTGCGCGTGCTTTCTCTCCACCGGAGCGCTTCAGACCTGCAGCCAAGCCAGGTGAGAGCATTTACACACTCATGCGTTCATCAGTTTAAACCAAACCAGGTGAGAGCATCCATACACTCGTGCGTCCATCGGTTCACTCACGAATTGCTCGTGAGATAGCGTTGGTTATTCATGGCAAGAGCGGACGATACGGAGAATGTAGTCGCGCGCTTGAGTGCAGACGGTCGATATATGCCATAATGCCACTGCATGAGTGAGGATGAATGAGGATGGCATGATTCACTTGGTGTATTGTATTCAATAATTATTTCATGTTCATATTGTCATTCCTGCCATAGATTCGATAGAAAAGTAATATATATATATATATATATATATATAAATTCAAAACGAAAAAAGAAAGAAATTAAATTAAAAAAGCTTTGAATTTGATTGTACATTTAAATTTACTTGTCTTAACTTTAGGGTTGATAAAAAAAAGTAAAAAGTAGTGGTTATAAACAAATGTGTGGCATTGTTGATGTGAGCTGCTTTGTAAAGATGATTTCTACTAAAGCATGCGGCTGTTTGGATTATTCTCAAATCGTGCTGAAAAACATGATCACCACGAGTGCTGGTATCATTATTATTGCTAAAAAGGAAATTACAAATAGTAAGACCAGTGATCACTGTACTTATGTGTATTAATATTCAAAATCATGCTTACAACAATTCTTTCACATAATCATGAATGTGTCTGATAAGTTGTTCCTATGTTCTGATATTGAATGATAATGTCACTTCCTGCATTTGTCAGATCCAAACGAGAAACCACCAGAAAAGAGAGAGAAGCTCGTAAACCTGGCAGGTAAAACTACTGTCAAGTTTATCATACTCATACATTTCATTTTCTTCAATAGAAAAAAAAAAAAAAAAGAATGAACCATATAATTTGCAAGAATTCTCTGGTTAAAGGCTCCAGTACTGTTGACAAATTAAATGTTACACTGTATGATGTGTTGCAAAAATAGCTGACTTATACAGAAAACTAATTACATGATGCAATTGTCAGGTTTATGTTCAGTTATGGATTTGTATTTCATTGATTTCCGTTCAGTTTTTTGTAAAAGTTTTTAATTGAAGTTTTTGACTTTTGGAATTTATCATAATGTTTTTGTGAATGCTTTAACATGTTTATTTCAGCACCTTACTGATGAGAAGCCCAGACGTTACAAAAGCTCCCTTCACAAAATCAGAACAACTTCTCAAGTTAGATGACCATGACTTCACCATGAGGCCTGGCTTCGGAGGTGAGACAAGAAAACTTTGAGTCCCCAAAATAATGACAGATATGTTGAGTTGAGTTGAGTTTCCAGGTTCATGTAGAAATTATGGGCAGTTGTCCAAAACAACATAAATTTTAACTCTAAAATATATAAATAATCAAGCTTGGTTATTCTACCGAATCTAATTTTATTAAGTGTTACATTTGAGTTTTTATTACAACATACAGTAAATGGATGATTACTTTTTTTTCTTTTTAGATGATGTCTGATTGCTCTAAGCATGATTTTATTGGATTTGTGGTGCATATGGACTAATAAGCAACCTATGGTTTTCATTACTGCATTAATGGCAAATATGAAATACCAAGATCTTAATAAACACCACAAGACTCGGACTTATGACGGATTTGGACTGACATCACAGGCAATCAGCTTTACATAAGCTCATGGTAGATTATGACACTGATTTACTGTGGCTCTGTGCCTCGAGCATCCACTTATCGGCCCAAATCTTCACTAAAGTTCACACAAACTGTAAATACATTATGCTCCGATTAAGGGATTTGAAAATGATGTCCTGAGGTGGAAAAAAGGACATTTAGGGTTTTTAAGAGTTTCATGCTAGTTTTTTTGTTTGTTCCTTGAGTGCTAAAGACAAACACACGGATTTGCAAGAAATGTCTGATGGTATGGTGAGTCAATATCTGCATTTGAATAGCTTTCCAAGTTAATTAATTTTACATTTCAGCTAAACCCTACTGTTAAGTGAGCTATAACGCAGTAGACAGACAGATCAAGAATACCCTTACAATCACAAAGTCTTTATTTTTGGTTTGTAGATGATGATTGAATGGTCTATTGAAGAAGTTGTATGTTTTGTGGCAAAATTTTATTACATTTTCTGTGAGGGTTTGTTTCATCTAATGTGTGTCAAGATAAACTGTGAAAAAATCTTTTGAGTAATGTGGGGCACTTTTTAAAATCTATTCTGATCAATTAAGATCATTAATCTTTATATCTTATCAATTAACATAATGAAAGCGAATGAGTGTGCCGGAAGCCAGTCTTCGAGCTCGGAGTTTTTATTTAAGTAGTTAGGACTATAAATGTGGAGAAGGGGTGGTGGAGGGGTGCTGCTAAACTGTCAATGGATTGAGGTGAGACTGAGTCTATATATATAGTTACGTTCCAGCCCCCAAAAGGGAGGGGAAGCTGATAACCCTCTGCTTGGGCCCACAAATCCCAGTAAAGGAAGTATGGAGTCGTGGTGCGAGAAAAGGACGCAGAGTTTTTATTTTTGCCACAGTAATAATGTGAATGATAAATAATAATTTTCAGGGAGAAAGGGGAGAGCTGGACAAACAAACAAAAAGAAATAAACAAAATATACCCCACTGCTAACATATTCTCATTATACATATCACCTATCTGGGACACGATCAAGGTGCCCTAACCAAACTTACAGATGGTGGTCTGCCCAGGTCTGGTGTTTCTAGACAGAGAAGTATGGGTGATGTATACCCCGGGTAGCTCTAAATCTTCTCCCCCAACTCCCTATAAGCAAAAAAGTGGAACACAAAGCTAGATTTACTAGCTAACAAATCAGATTAAAACATTGTCAAAGCATTGTCAAATGTTCCAATCATAATCTCAATAGATAACAATAAAGTTATCTACAATTCACAAAGATTCCCACAAAGGGATACCAACCATGGGGGCTCGTCCGGGAACCATGGGGGCTCGTCCGGGAACCATGGGGGCTCGCTCGTGATCTCTTATCATTGATTGTTGAGCTCTCTCCATCCGTGTTAATTATCTGAACGTGCTACTCCCGAACTCTGTTAATAAAACATCACACAGTTTGGACACGACTACAAATGTCTGTTACATTCTTTTCCACCAACAAGAACCAGGTGGTGGTTCAGAGCTAGAGCTAGTGCTGGTTCGGAGCTGGTTCGACTGACGAGCTTTCAAAGAACCACTTTGCCTTTCCACAGGCTAGAGAGCCATCACAGAGCCAGATCTTACGTCACTGTATACATCTTATGTTGCCCAGCAACGCTAGCGCAGCACACACAAACACACCAGGCTTGTTCGAGATGGTTCGGCACTGTGAATCTCAAACTGCGAGAGCGATCCAAAAGCAGAAAGAGTCGTATGCTCTCCAAACACTCCCGCAGCTCCGATCAGTCCACGCCGCTCCGTGCATCTCGAACAAGCCTTCCATCAACAATGCCGGTTGTTGCGTTAGGCTACTATTTATGCTCATGGCTTTGAAAGCCTACATCGGTATGCAAACACGGGGAATCCATCGCGTTCGCACAAGGCAGTCACAAGTTTCTATTCATCTTGTTGGTCACGGTAACCCCGCCCCCAGCCGCTGACGTAAGCGGTTCTTACTTCTAGACCACCAATGATTTGGTGCTACTTAAGAACCACTTTTACTGGTTCAGAGCTGGTCGAAAAACAAAGAACCGATTTGAAACTATGCTCTTGCTCCAAACCAGCACCAGCTCTTCCTTGGTGGAAAAGGGGTATGTCTCCTCAAGTAGTACCCTAAGGCTGTAGGAGTTGATTGCAGCCCGGATCTCGAGTTACCCACCCCTTGCCTGATGAGTGTACACAGGCCAATAATCTATCTGAACTATTTGCTCCAAACCTGCTCTCGTAGGGTAGGTGTCCTGCAGAGTTCAGCTCCAGCTCGGCTCAACAGCCTGGAAGTTTCTAGTGTAAGACCTTGATTAGCTGCTTCAGGTGTGTTTAATTGAGTTATTGGTAAGCCCCTCCCCTCGAATTTTAGTATCAGTTAAGTATCAGTTGCACATGAACTCTGACATCTTTAGGTTTTTTTCATAAAAATGGTAAAACGATGTGCCTGGGGTACTTGTAACACTAATTCCAGGTATCCTGAGAGGATGGTCATGGGTATTTATGTATTAAATCACCGAACTGTGCGTGTGTTCACCAGAGCGTTTCAAAAAGTGTTATAAGATTTGCGACTGAAGTCTGGTTTATCACTGATTTGGGCGCAGTAACCTGGTTCCCCAAGGATTTAATCCCCAATCCCAATTGTCATATTAAGTTACAATTAAGGTTAGTGAGACCATGCTAACGTACAAACCTAACGTTAAATAGCTAACTGTTCTCACGCCAGTGTTGGCCAAAACACAAACGAATGTCTACATTTCATTACCTCTCCATATTAAACTGGTTAAATGTAAATTAATGTAATCTTACACTGCATTACATGAACAGTGTTGATCCTAAATGCTGTTTTTTTGCGATCGTGACGACCGTAACTTGAGGCTTCTCCCGCTTGCATTGTGATCTGTAAACCCTCGCTTCCATCTTGTTACCTACTATATTTATTTTAAAATCTTTTATACATATCTCTATCTCCGTGGCATATTTAAGTACCCCTTGAATGCTCCTTGACGAGAGGCGGTCCTGTGTACAAAATTTATCAAAAATATATTGGAACAAGGTTTTCACCCTGTGAGCTACTGTAAGACAGTTAGCAACTCTGTTTGTTTGCCCAAGGTCACAACAGTTACTAAGGGGGGTGGGGCTTCCCGATAGCTGAACTCTGCAGGAAGATCGGACACTCCTGATCTAATCTTACAGAAGTGGATAAAAAATGGATAGATTTAATTTTCTGATTTTCAGTCTATGGTTAAAAGATTTGTTCACTTTTAAACAAACTTTTGCTGATAATTTACTCACCCCCATGTCATCCAAGATGTCCATGTCTTTCTTTCTTCAGTCGAGAAGAAATTAAGGTTTTTGATGAAAACATTACAGGATTTCAATGGGGTCCAAACGGTTCAAGGTCCAAATGAGAGTTTCAGTGCAGCTTCAAAGGGCTTTAAAGGATTCCAGACTATGAATAAGGGTCTTATCAAGAGAAATGATCGCTCATTTAATAAATAAATAAATAACAAAGTTTTATGAGCACAAATGCTTGACTTGCTCTGTTCTGTGAGACCTTTTCAACGTAATTGCGTATTACATGATGTCACGCATTTGTGCTCATAAAACTTTATTATTTATTTATTATATGAGCGATCGTTTCGCATGATAAGACCCTTATTCATCGTCTGGAATCGTTTAAAGCCCTTTGAAGCTACACTGAAACTCTCATTTGGACTTGAACCGTTTGGACCCCATTGAAGTCCATTATATGGAGAAAATCCTGGAATGTTTTCATCAAAAACCTTAATTTCTTTTCGACTGAAGAAAGAAAGACATGGACATCTTGGATGACATGGGGGTAGGGTTGGGTATCGTTTGAATTTGAACAATTCTGATTCCGATTCCGATTCCTTGTTTCGATTCCGGTTCCTAACGATTCTCAATTCCGATTCTTTTAAGAGGCAGGGTCAAAAAAGTTTAGCTAACCTTGCTAACCAACGGTCTTTCTGAAGGAAATAATCCTTTCTGAAGGAAATACTCCTTCTGTCACAAATACTCCTTTTGTCACAAATTTTGCATTTTGCCGAGATTTCGTTATTTTTAGAAAAGTGAAGCCACACTTTGGACCACCGACGTAAGCTACTCATGTTCGACTCGCGCGGTTATGCCAACACTTCCGGTAGATGCTTCTTCGTTGGTGTTGTTCAGCGGTTTCTTCTTCCGCTCGGCGGACTGTGAATATCAAAACTAGGAATCGAAATTTTAACTTTTGAACGATTCCGGGAAAAACTAAAAGTTGGTCCCGGTTCCAATCGATACTCGATTCTCGATACCCAACCCTACATGGGGGTGAGTAAATTATCAGCAAAAGTTTTTTTTTAAAGTAAACTACTCCTTTAAATGTTGTCATAATACACATTTAACTGTTACCTTGATCTTATGTGCATTGTAAAACAGTTTAAAGCTCATTGGTCTGTGTGCAAATTTTTGTTTGATGTATCATGATTTAAAAAGGAAAAATTGTGCTTGATTTCAGGTGCCGCGATACCTGTGGGTGTTGATGTTCAGCTTGAGAGCCTGGACACCATCTCTGAAGTTGATATGGTAGGAGATTAACATGTCTTTATACTGTAAATATGGCTTCCAGCTTTACAGCTCTTGCATCGTGAATGATTGAGTGCTATCATGATCTGAACTGAACTGGATAATAGCAAGAGCTCTAATTCAACATTTCCAAGCACCCTAGATGCATTGTCTTTTTTTTCTATGGGCTCTTATGATAGAAATAAGGCTACTGTTCAAACTGTTTTCAATCAGGAATATATGATTGGACTGTGTGTCGCAGGACTTCACCATAACCCTGTACTTGAGACATTACTGGAAGGACGAGCGACTGTCCTTTCCCAGCAACACCAACCAGAGCATGACCTTCGATAGCCGGCTGGTGAAGAAAATTTGGGTACCCGACACATTTTTTTGTCCATTCCAAACGATCCTTCATCCACGACAACCACCACGGAGAACGTCATGCTCCGAGTGCAACCCGACGGCAAAGTGCTCTACAGCCTGAGGTAACCGTCTCAAATCACACGTGCACACTCAGACACACTGATGATCTTGTGCTACAACAGAGCTCTGACATTTTATCCAGGCTATGCTTTTTCTTTTTGCTATTTAACATTATCCCTCTCAATTTAATCCCGA